GTTCTGAAGGCATTCAAGGATGAAAGAACAAAAAGCACAGCTGAAACAACAAGCACTAGTAACTGAAATTAACACTGTAACACCTGTTTTAATCCTTTGAAAACAGAAGCACATAAGCAGTAAGCAAAGAAACTTGGTTGACTTCTGTATAGGATCTGTTAAGGCACTGGAAAAGTACTACAGTGCGAGCTCTAGGATTGCACATGGCTTCATGTTACCGGGGAATCAGTAACACCCAGCAGAATACCAGCACATGCAACATTAGCATCTTCTGCTACAGATCAGAAACAGAACCACAACAATTAAGCTAAGAAATGGGTAACACAGTGCCATTACACTCAGCATAAATCAATACCATGCATGAGGCAAAGGAACTAGGAATGCTTCACAAAACTACCTCTAAATATAATGTAAATATAAATATAAGCCTGCCAAGCATGCCTCTGTGGCCTTACCTTTTGTTCTCTGAACACTGAATGCCTTCAGGCAAGCTGATGGCTAGTAAGTTATGGCTACTGACGGCTAGGAAGTTATCAGTCACTTGTGCCTTACTTTCTTGCCTCTAGTTCTACTTCTCTTTAGATCCTTTCACCTAAAATGTGTTACAGCAATACTTCAAGCAAATCCAAATTTTGTAACTTCCTCCTCACTCAAATTCTAGCTCATACACAGTAAACAACCAAGGAGAGACAACTGACTCCTGTTCAACCTCTTTTTCCCCCCACAAAGGGTAGTCCAGCAAGTAAAAATGTGGTATCCCCTCTAATCCTAGACCTTTAGTTACACACAAGCACAGTTAGCTGCTAACCCACAGGCTGTCACAGCACTCACCTTTGAGTAATTGGAATATTAAGCAACCATTTATTCTCTCACTTTTTCAATTATAGTAAAGAAACAATAGTAGAACTGCTGTGATTCAAAAGTACACAAGGAAAAAACTTCCAACCTTCTAGAAAGATGAAAGAAACTTCTAGGAAAGCAAATAACCAGTTCTTTTTGGACACATACACTTTAGCTGAAGAGTTACAGGGTGTAACACAGCAAGGCAGTTCCCAGTTCAGAATCATGAGTTCTTAGTATGGTTCTCCAACAGCAGTGTGGCTGCTCTCTAGGTTTCATTGTGGCTATTTTGAACTAGAAGAATTTCAGTTTTGATTTTCCCAGCTACAGATCTCATAAGTTAATGAGTCAGAGAGACAAACTGTGAGTTTACATTTCAAATTTGCGATAAGGAAAATTTATACATAAAGCTTCAATTTCTCCTAGTTGGTTTCATGTGAGACTTAAATAAACAGTATATTATTTGTCACAACCAACTAGTAAGGCATAGCCAGTTGCAGTTTAAGGTTTTGTTTTCCCTCCATATGCTTCCTTTGACCATAACAGTGCAGGACAGGAGGCAGGAAATGTTATCACGTAAGACTGAAGCCTCAGGATCTACAATGAGAACCATCAACAAAAGGTTACCAACACTGCCTACACAAGACAGCAATGATAAGCTTAAAGACTCTGTTTCTCCAAAACAGATTATGGTACTTCAACTTGCAGGAGAGGAAAAACTGCATTGATAACTTCCAGGTCAGTTATTTAGCTTTTGTCCACTAACTTCACAAATACTACAGGTTCTTATAAAGACCAGCTTAGAAGTTTTAGGATATAAACATTTTCCTCAAACCATAATTAAGTAGCTTCTGTAAAGCTCTACACACCCTTACAGGACACCAGGTGCTTGGTATTTATGAAGCTCATCAGCTAAGCAACACAGGCAGACTGCCCACAGCTGTCATATTAGGAGGTTGCACCCCGCTGTAGCCCTGATTGTCCTTGCAGGGGGCACAATATATAGCTGGATAGTTTCCACTCATTGCTCACATCCATCACCAAACATTTCTCAACAAAATCTTTTTCAAAAATGGCCCATAATCTCTTTCGGGCAGACTGTTAATATCTCACAACTACATTAATTTGCTGTTGAAAACATTAGTCCTTTTTTCATGTTTGCCAAAGACAAAGAAACTATTAAAAAGTAAAAGGTTACTGACCTTTTTACAAAGGACTAAAGAATCTGACATTAAAGTGTCCTGTGATTATAACAATCATTCTTTACAAAGAATACTCTTTTTTTTTTCTGTTTTGTTCCTTCATTTAGAGATAAAAGGAAATGTAGTCTTCTTTATATGTCAGTTTGCATCACATGACTTATTTTTCTAGGCCTACTTTGTGTCTAATCTTATATCTTTAATCTTACATGGTTTCAGATGATTCAGACATTCTTGGAGTACACAAAGAGCTTATAGTATTGACTCTTCTTTGGGTTTTTTTAATGCCCTGTTTGCTTTAATATATTTAATGCTTGTGAAAGATGACAATGGTTTCATTGGCATTTAGAAATCTAGTTCTCAAGCAGTAACACTGGAAAAGCAGAAGTTGCAACAGTGTAGGCTTCTCCACAAAGCTCTGCCAACACCATTCAACGGCATCTTATCCTATTATTTATTCCAGTGTGTACACCTTGCCCAGTGGGGGTGGCAGGCATGTTTGTGTGTAGTTTCCTGGATCATTCTTGGAGCTCTTTCAGACAGCCATATTCATGTTACATGTGCCTTTTCCAACTAGTACCATTGACATGAAGCAAGAACTTAGCACTATCTTCCCCAGACACAAATTAATTTATGATTTAAAAATGAATACATCTGATCATCCCAAATCATTATTGCTTATATTTTCCAGTCACTCTATTGATAATTCAATTTAAGGCATATTCTTTCTCTAGTCCTCCTTGTGGAAAGTGTTTTGCCATGGAAAATTTCCCAAGATACTCTCCAGTAAACAAAAACCACCCCTGTTTACTCTGTCTGTTCTGGTTTTGTTGTGATTATTCTTCCCACCCACCTTACATTTCTGTGGATCTTCAGGATTCTCTTGCAGAATTTCTGCTCATAAGTACTAAAGGTACTAATAAAGATTCCTTTTTGGTGTTTGTTGCTCTAACTCATTTTGGCGTCCTTAGTATATTTCCGCATTTCACGAAAATTTATGGTTCTTTCTGTTTCATTTTATAGGCACAAATTCCTTTGTGCCTATCTTTTTCTTGAAGGTGCCATCTGTTTGTTTTGCTTTTTTAATAATTGTCTCCTGTGGTTTAATTGTGTTGGCATCCTTCAGAGCTTGATCCTGCACCACAATTGTGCAAACTGTGGTGCAGGATCAAGCTCTGAAGGATGCCAGCAGCCTACAGCAAACTCCCAAAGAACTTAATGTAAACAGTGGATTATGGACTTGCAGTGCACCCTGTGATTTTATTCACAATGTACTGCAAGTCTTAAGGCTAAGACTAAATCCATTATTAAGCATTCTAGACAATAACCCCATTCCAAAGCACAACAAGAAGCATAGAGCAATCCAAGAAATCAAAAACAAATAATATAGAAAAAGCATCTCTGCACAATCTTTTGGGAACTGTCTATTCCTTTCCCTAAGTCACTGTTACTATACTGAATTAAAACTATAGGTTTATAAACACTACTTGGAATCATGCCAGTGTTACCAATAGAAGTAAAATTTTAAGTAAGTGGGTGCCACATACAGGCAGCAGCCCCCTTATGTACTAAGAGCTGCATAGTGGGAGCTTGACTTAATTTGTCAAAAAAAGCCTGAAGGCTGTATCTGATTAATTATGAGGTTATACAGGAGAAAGTATTTGCATGAAACATAAATTATTTTCCAAGGTAACTAATACATACTCCAAACAACAATTAAAACAAAATCACATTATTCAGGGCACTATTGTAGAGCATGTGGGTGTTAGATACAGAGGCCTTGTGAGGAAATTGCTACAGTACTAAACATAGAGAGCCTGGTGGAAGGCTATCTTGAAAACCTACTATATGGTTTACTACACTCTGCTTTAAAACAGCTTAATTCTCTGGTTTCACACAGAATTCTTTGTACAGTCCAAGAAAGAAAATAGCATTGCTACAAATCACAGGAATTGCATTTTAGGCCTCTCAAAGTTTCTTTGCTGAGTCATGTCATCTGACTAGTCACACAAGAATGCATGTCAGCTTGTAGCTTGTCATGGAGATGATTAGAGATTTTTTTGAAGGAGCTGAAGCTAATGTGCTTAAGCTATTGAACAAAAATGTCATATATGCTCTTTATGTGCACTTTGTTCTCCATATTAAATCATATGCATCATAGATCTTTAAGGACAAAATTACTGATGCACAGCACATGTGCTCCTTTAACAACCACAGTTTACCCTAGCAAAGTATTATCAAATACAGTTCTTAAGACTATAGAAAGGAAATTGGCATGCTCTATTTTCTCTGCTATTTAGTTGTCATTTCTCAGGCATTTTTTCCCCATAATGATTTAATCTTGTTGAAAATTTTGGGTCCACATTCTCATGATGCCCTCCAGTAATTGGAGTAGTTTCCTAAAGTTAGGTAGACTTTTTTACTCTTGTAGGCATCATTGCCAAGCATTTTTTGCTTGGCAATACTTCACAAAATTAATTACTGCCTCCAATTTTTTATCAATGCCTACTACTTCCTTTGGTAGTCTGGGTTTTGGTTTAAGATGTTATGTTTCTTTGTGTGGCTTATTCCACATTTCCAAAGCATATTTTTGCTGGACGCTGCTTGGTCTCGGTTCGATATCTAGTGATTAAGCTTTCAACACTGTCATTTTGCATCTTTTAATTAGTTTGGCCTCTTCCCATACTTTGACTAGAACTTCAGTATGTTCTTTATCTGATTGATCACTCTTCACAGCAGATTACCCTCCCTGGGGAGAACAGCGAGGCCTTGCCAACAACACAGATATTGAAAAGCAACCACAAATTAGCAGCTGTGACATCGGACCTGGTTTTTGTTATACATCCAACCGAGAAAGCTTTCCTGGTGCTCTCGGGGTAAACAAGGACTGGGTGAACTCGGAATCTTTGAAGTTGAAGGCAGAGAAGCGCTTACTTTCTGGAACGTTTCCAGCGAAGAGGCCGCCCGGAGGAGGGGCCGCCGTCTCACAGCCCCCGCCCGCCTGTGCGAGCCCTGGGCGCTCCTCCCGCACCTGACCGAGGTCCAACAGGTCCCCGCAGCCGCGGCTCGGTTCGGGCCGGGCCGGACAGGCTCCTCACACCCGCCTTTCCCACACGGCGGAGGCGCCGCGGGGCCGCTCCGGCCCGCCTGAGGGGAGCCCGTGCCGGGCGCGCGGGCGGCAGGTACCGGGCGGACACTGGGGCAGGCGAGGTGTGGGACTGTGCGCGGTTCAGCGAGCCTACCGGCACCCGCCGCACTTCTCTCTGCGCTCTGCGGCTCGTGGGGCGGGGATGGGTGTGAGGGGCACCGCGGCCGGTTGCGGCGGCTCAGGACGACCGGCCGCTGGAACGTCCCCGCTCCGCGGTCGAGCGGGCGGCAGCGATGGCATTTTCATCTCTGTTCAGTTGCCCCCGAATTCGTAGGAGGAAGGAAAAGTCCTAAGTACCACGCAGGGGGAGAAATGCGTTCCCGGGGGCCTCACCTTGTGAGGCAGGGCAAGGGCGGCTGCTCGGCACGGCTGAAATTCGGTGTCGCGTGAGCGCCCCATCATCTCATCTCATCTCCTGCCCTGCCCGCTGCTGTCGCTGCCATAGCGGGTGGCTTGGCTGGCCCACGGCTCGCAGAGGACCCTGCGAGAGGCAGACGCCTGGCGTTCATGTGTCCCGCGTCGTGGAGCTCTGGCCGAGCTCCCAGCTGGCATCCCTCCTTGTCTGCGGGCCAGGGACACTCTCGGGAGCGCTGCTCTTCACACAGGAGCCGTTTCACCTGTGTCACAACTTTTTGTTGCCCTTTCTTTTTGCTTATTGAAATATGTCCCTGCCAGCTGGGGAAAGGGACCAGCTCTTGGCAACGCACATTGTGTTAATTTCTTGTAAAAAGAAATTGAAGAGAGGGAACTGGACTGTTCTATTCAGTGCAATTTCACCTGTACTGTGCTGTTAGCAGAGAGCATTAGAATTTCAGGGGAGAATGACAATGATGCTTCTGTTGCTAAAATCAGTAGAGAAATAAAAATGTAGCACAGGTCTAGATAAGAAACAGCTGAGGGAGAATGTTACTTATGAAACTACGTGATATGAAGAAGATAGGACATAGTGGTTAGTTTCTCTGTGATGACACAAAAGACTTGGGGACACCCAAGTGAAAATACTGAATGGTAGATTCAGAACAAATTAAATTACCTGTCTCTTTCTAGGATGCATAATTAAAATGTGGCATTCACTGACACATGACATTGTATGCACACTTACAGTTTCTAAAAAGGGAAAAATCAAGCAGCTGTCCATTTAGAAGTGTGGTGCACCAAGAACACAACCACTTTGGGAAGTCCAAAATACACGAACTGAGGAAAGCTGGGAGAGGAAAGTTATTTGCTAACTGGCTGTCTTCTATGGTCTTATGCTCTCCCTAGGCACCTTTCATGGTCATCACTCAGAAATGGGATACCATGCTATAGTGGCTTTGATCTGAGACAGTATTATGTTAGTGCTGCTTAAGGATTAAAGGTTCCACTTAAATGTGTAGCCCTACTAGAGGCAGGCAATCTTATGCTTGTCAGTTTTTCTGTCTATATACACATGACTTAGATTTTTCAGTAATTTAATTTTTTTCCAGGAATATTAGAGGCAAGCATTTGAGTTGGTGCTACCTGCTGTGTATGTTAAATAGGCTTCTGCATCTGTGAAATAGTGGTGTTACATTCATACTTAGTACACAGAACACAAAAATATGGTCTTTCTGATTAATAATTCTAAAACGTTCTCTGGCAGCACAGTGGTGATTTAAGGAGAGGATTACAGCATGTAAAGAGCTCTTTTATGAAGATACAAGCTTTAATTTTTGAAGCTACTGGCTACATATTGTGCTCTGAACTTTGGTTCTTTCCCACAGAGACTTTCTGGGACCAGCTGATTTTATAGTGTCATTAACTATTCATAATTAACTAAACCATTGAATGGCACAAAAATATTTAAAATACTGGATAAAACCTTGGATTAGAGTATGTTAAGATGTTGGCATGCTTTACTAGTAAGTCTTGAAATTAATTTAATTTCCCTGATTCAGGACCTTTTTTTACTGGCCAATTGTATTAGCTGAAATATTTTCAAAAATACTTGATTCACATTTCTGTCTTTGAAATATGACTAAGAATGTCTTTGTTTAGCAGCCTACCTCTGAGTTTATATATATTTCTCTCCTTCCACTTAATATTTTTCAGAGAATTACAGAAGATTATGGGTCAGACTTATACAGGAATTAGCTGCTTAATACCCCTTTGATTTCTCACTGAAAAAAATGGGATTTACTTATCAAAATACCTCTACAAATCTGAGTCTATGACAATTTAAAAAAAATCTTTAATAGGCTGTGTGAAAAATACTTGTTCTCACCTATTTTTCTCATGTATAATGTTTTCCTTGTCTTCCTGAAATAGGTAGAAACAGATGACCAAATAGCCCTCCTTAGTAAGCCCAGGAATAAAGGAGGAAACAGTGATCTGGCATCAGCTGGATTTAACATTATTAATTCAATCATAGGATCAGGCATTATAGGTAAATCTACTTTTCTTCACTATCCTGTATTCAGCCTTGTTTGTTCATGCATGACTATCTAGCTTGGACAATAACACTGACTCCTTACTTTCTGATGCTGTTTTTAAAGATTTTTCTCTGTACTTATTTGCTTACTTTGCAAAAATGCTGAGGTCTCAGTTGAGACCCCACCTTAATGATAAATACCCCAGAGTCTCTTGGCCATAATGACCAGAGAGGTTGGGCAGATGCTGACTGAACTTCATACTTAAGCAACACTTTGTCCAGTGAAAATTATATTTTTGAGGTTATTAAGCATGCTGGTCCCATTTGGGAGATTACTAGCATTTTTTAAAATCTGAGTTTTTCTTTATTTTGATTCTCACAAATAAATATTTGGAAAGAATTTGCTAGAATCTCTCCTTTTCTGCTTTGCAGGATTGCCATATTCAATGAAGGAAGCTGGTTTTCCTCTAGGACTACTGCTTTTGTTTGTGGTTGCCTTAATTACAGGTACTCTAAAGGCAGTTTCTGTTGTAAAGATAGAATTAGTCATGCAATATTCTTAGCTTATCTTAAGCTTAATGGTACCTTAAACAAGTATATCTATGACAATAAAAATTACTAATATTTTCCTTACCTCACTAATCTCTTCAGTAGATTGGTAAAAGTAGAGAATTACACTGTACAACATATGAAGCTGCTTTTTGACTGCATTTATTTTCATGAAGCCTTAGTTTCCTAGTCAAGTTTACATTTGAAAGAATGTTCTTATTTGTGACCTCATAATCACCTGTTTGAGTCCACTGTTAAGACTGGACTAATTAAGAGACTGAATCCTGAGAGGGTTGTATATGACTTTTAAAAATAGACCACAGAATGAAAACCTTTGATTGTACTATGATTTTAAGTATTTTTCTTCTGATATGAGCCTATAGCTCCTGGGTTTAGTGGATTGAGAGGTTTAGTGAGATTTCTCATCCCTGCTCTTCCTAGTACCATTGCTTTTCTTCTTACAGCCTTTTATTTTTGGTCAATAGGAGGAGTGAAGGAAGGTGAAAAGTAATCAACCACAGGTTGGCTCATATAGTCTTTAACAGTAATTTTATGTTTTAACAGATTATTCCATTATATTACTGATCAAAGGAGGAAATCTGTCCAGTACCAAAACCTATCAAGAGCTGGTCAAAAAAACGTATGGTCTTGTAGGTTATCTAATCCTTTCAATTCTCCAGTTTTTATATCCATTTATTGGTAAGATCACATAAAATATAAATGTTTAAGTTTTATAAGTAACAAGCTTTTTCACATTACTTCATTATTTCACTGATTGAATATTAAGAACTGTATAAAGAATGTAGAGTATATGCTTCTTTGTTTTTTTAAGAAAAATTAAATTTATTTTATGAGTTCTGAAGAATGACTTCAATGAATTGAAGGATCAGAATAATAGAATTGAACTGAAATGTAATAGCAGAGAAATTCATGATCACACATATGAAAATTAATGACCAGAGTAGCTAGAAAAATAGCAAAGGAGATTCTGTTCTAGATTGTGTAGCAGAGAACAAAGTTGATGTGTCTGGAAGAAAAAGAAAATATGAATTTAGGAGTATACTGAATTAGTATATTTTCAGAGATGCAATTTTACTCTTTAGGTCTTGCTAGAATATTATGTGCTGTCATTGCTGTTCAAAAGCATTAGTTCAGCCTCATACCCAACAAAGTACTAGGAAATTGGGCAGTCGAGACCCCTTGGAAGACAAAATAGTAAATTAACAAAAAGGTATAATCTGGGCAGGAATTTATTAGACCAGAAGTTTGAAATAAAGTTCTGTTCTGAATTTGTCCCCTGCTGTAGCAACATAATTAAATCAAATCTTAAATAGTCTTGTTATTTTCACACGTCAAGCTGCAGGATTTGATGACCTGAGATATCAAGAGTCTGGACTTGGTGATCACAGAATCACAGATGAAAATTCCTATTTTGGGTCTGGCTACAGATACCTGAGATTTTTAAGGTTGGCAAGTTGCTGTTACTGCAGGCAGCAGTGTTACAGATTTAAATTATACTCCTTGGTAAACCAAGAACTCCACTGATAATACAGAAAAAGAATTGTAAAGGTCTCAGTCCTTACCACAGAGCTATGGTTATGCTCTTGTATGTGTTTGAATTAATTTATATAAGTAGAGTTGATGACTTACAATTTCACAACACAGAATATTTATATATATAGTTAAGGTCAATACCTAAATATATGGTGTCTAAATGCTAAAGACCGTGAGAGTGTATAAATATATTTTGTGTGTGTATACACACGTGCACAAATTTACACACTCATAGTGTAGAGTTAGATAAGAATGAAATAGGAGTGTTAAGGCCACAGCACTTATTAATGAGAGGGAGGAATCAAAGTCCATATCTCATTTCTTAATCTATTTTCTTCTTCTTTTTTCTGGTTTAAAGAGTTTGCTAGCTTTTTGCATGGGCTAGAAAGTCCGTTGCATTTAATTGCAGAACTGATTATTAGATGAACACAGGAAATTTTCAAACTAAAATTCAGAATTTTCTAACTAAATAGAAACAAGCATTTGAAAGTAAACTGACAGAGAATTGCTATTTGAAACAAATAGTTTTAGAAAGCCAGTTTTATCCTCTTCTGAAGTAAGGTTATATGGCCACTCAGCACAATGGCTTATCAGGCTGCATTAATACTTAGGTTGTACCTGTTTTTAATTAAAAAAAAAAAAAAAAAAAAGGAAGTGTTAAATAATGATTTTTTTTTTTTAAACCTGAAACTTTCAAGTTGTTGCTGCTAGCCAGAATTTCTGTTAGAGGGATAGTGGCATGTAATCCTGAAGTCTACAAAATCTTTGTATTCAGTGTTAATCAAATATTTTGGATACGACTTGTACTAATAAAAAACTTATTTTCTTTAAGCTATGATCAGCTACAACATAATAACAGGAGACACTTTAACTAAAGTTTTTCAGAGAATTCCTGGAGGTAAGATGCATTTAAAAAGTTTAAAAGTGGGGGATCATAGATTGAAGTGTAGCATAAGTATTTTGGAATTACCTGTAATATAGCTTCTAAATTACTCTTTAGTTCAAATTAAGAATGTGAAGCATATGTCTATGAGTGGGGTTTTTTGAGTTTGGTTTTTTTTCTTTAATAAGCCTTTCCCAAATAAAAACTATGAATCCTAGTCCTTGGCTATCAGTGGACTCAGTGTCGGTGAAGAGACCAGATGCTTCAGTGAAATACTAAGCAAATAGAAGTGAGTCTTCCACAGTTGTGTATTTACAAGATATTTGGGGTTTGTAATTTTTTTTAGATACTTTCTATAATAATAATGATTTAAATAGCGAAACTGTATTTCATCTAGTGAATAATTCTGGATAAGTTGCAAATAATATAATGAATGTAATGCCTTTTAACTCATGCCCACTTGTTTCCTGTGCTCTTAAGTTTTCACAGCAGCATCAGTGGAGCAATTTATGTATGTGTTTGATATATACTTTAGCACAAAAGCAGCTAAGCTAAAACATTGTCCACTGGGAAATTAAACTGAGAGAAAACATATTTGTAATGAAGTGGAAATGTGAATTTGTATGAACTGTTTCATTTCCACAGGAGAACTATAATTTTCAGCATGTGAAACCTGAAAGGTGTGGATGTAGTTTTAATTATCACACTATGTTGTTCTGTGAATACCTGATCAAATTGATAGTGACAGTGAATATCTAATACTTTATATGTAATATGACTTCTGTATTAAGGGGAACCCCCAGCATGGCAAATCTTATTACGTATCCAGTAGAATACTTGCCTTGAAAGAGGTGGGAAAGCTTTATAATCTCCCAAAAAAAAGAGGGAACAGAACACTGAGTTTTCCATGGCAATTGCCAGTCACTTTCCAGCCATAATTTTTCATCAAGTATTCATTCAAGCCAATGATTTATGGTGGCCTCACTGAAACTTGGAGATGTTTTATTTTAAGTTGTCATTGGCTTGAAAAAACCCACCAGTTATGCAAACAAGTCCCACTGATTACATGGAATATTATAACAGCATTGTTGCCTTCATATGGTAATCTACTTTGCAAGTAGAAGCTGGCTGATGGCAGGAAAGGAGGTGCCCAAAAGAAACCTCAAATTAACTTCTTTTAGGCCATTTCTTAGAGAACAATGCTATCCTAAACAGCACAGTAATTGGTGTCAACCCAGAGTATCAAAAATTCTCAAGACTAAATGGCAGAAAGAAGTAGTAGAATTTTTTATTTGCCCTCTCCCAGCATTGACCCAGACAAATGAAAGACGTTAATACCAATCTATATGTAGGAATCCAGACTTAGCAATTTTGATTTACTATATCCCATATGTTATGCATTTGGTTTGAATTTGCTGAATTCTTGTGTTTATGCCCATGCTGTGTATGGCTTTCTCAGTGTTAGTTAACGCCTAGTTTTCAGTATTACTTAGTCTGAGTAAAGGGAATAAAAGCTTGATCACCAACAGTTTGTTACTTCTAACCTTTCAAATGTAGCTAATCTTTTCCTCAAGTTAGTCTCTCAAAGAAATAAATTATTTTCTTTTTTGCTTTAGTTGGGGTGGATAACGTGCTTACCGACCGTCACTTCATAATTCTTCTTACCACCATCATCTTTACCTTACCTATATCTTTATATCGAGACATAGCAAAATTGGGAAAGGTAAATCATAACAGCAGTTGATTTTTGGTTTATTGTTCTGTATGCCATTGAAAATAAGTGCCAATCATAACTTCGTGTAAATAATTAACAAATGCATTATGCTGCTCAAAGGACCACCTTTCAGCAGCTTACTGACTGGAGTCATGTTTTTACCTTTGCAGGTGTCTCTTCTTTCTCTGATTCTAACCATTGTCATCCTGGTGGTTGTGATGGTGAGAACAGTAACCTTCAGTCCACAAGTGTGAGTATTCTTACACTTGCCACAAAGTGAACTTCTGTTCATATATAATCTGTTATTTCACTGTTGCATTTACTTGCATAGTTGTGGAACGTGCCTGCTTTGGAACAGACAGATAATCAAAAAATCTCTGTCAACAATAATACAAAAGAAACAGCTAAATATACTTCATCCTTTTAAATCTTTTTTTTCTGTTGGGTATAAGCAAATTTAAAGAAAGTCTCAAAACCCCTAGAGATAAATGGGGAATTATGGATGACTGATAGCAGGTGGGTCCTGGATTGGCGTGTGAGATTGTCGGTCATTTGAGATTTTTAAAATTTTTTTTCTGTTATTTCTATATTTACAATCATTAAAATAACTACTATCTTAGGAATGTTTATTTTTCTGATAAGATAAATATAATAATTTCATAATAAAAATAAAATACAAGTACTGTGAATTTTTAAAAAACAACACAATAATAACATCTTTATTTTGTCATTTAAGAAAACTATATGATACGAAAAACTCCTACTCATGCATAGTCTGAAAGTAGTATTTAACATTGGACATTGGAGTGTTCTAGACAATTTAGTTCACATAAGTATGTGTTGTGACAATATTTTTATGATTATATTGCAAGAAAGTGCTACAAATCTATTATTTTTCCTTAAAGGTTTAGAAGGGCTGCCTTTTTTCTCATCCTTAAATGTATAGGTATATTAATAAAGATGAAAAATACTACATCTGAACGTGCTTTTTTATTTATTGGAAAAGATTTATATGCTGCTCTTATGTTTCCCTCAGATTCTTCCACCAGGATTGTTTCATCAGTGTTAGGCACAATTGTTCAGTTGTATGACTGCTGTGATACATGGGTTAGTTGCAGGGTATTCAGGTTTAATGGTAGGACGATGCCTGGAATAGCAGTTTCTTAAGTTGTACCAGATGATGTTGTCTATCATCCACAAAATCTCTCTCAGAACAGTGTGGAACTTCCCTCCCCACCATATTTCTGGAGCAGCATGTTTTTCACACTGTGTGTCAAAGGGGTATTTAAAAGGTTAATCTCAAAACTCCCTGTTAAAAAAGGAATAAGCTATATATAATAGTTACTGATAACCTTGTTACTATGGTAACATTTCTTCTCCACAGTTGTGATGCACTGAAAAATATGGAATGCATGATTTTATTTTTTCTTACAGTACCTGCTGTTTGGTCTTGAGTGATTCTTGAAGTTTTACTTCTTAATTCTAGAAGTAAGAGTTCCAAAAGAGATTTAAAAAAAATCATTATTACGAAAGCACAGTCCTTGTATCTGTCATATAGGGAAAGTATTTGTACAGTCCTGGATAAAGGCTCAATAGGTACAAAAATATTCAATCCCTACAGTTGTTATATGGTAGAACTGATGATGTGCTGGCCATTGATGACAGGTGATTGCCAAGAACAAACTAGACAATTCCATGGTTTCCCATTCCAGTCCTTAACTGGCCTTTTCTTATGAACTGTTCCCGAATGTGTGTGACTCCATTTCATATTGGTTGCTTCTTGGCCTAACCACAGTAGATATGGACAGCAAACTATACTTTTTCAAGTGCTTGGAAAACACCTCTAAAAAAGCCGTAATTTGACCCCTTTTGGGGATCCTTTCTATAGACCAAATAAGCACAGTTCCTTTAGGATTTATCTTTTTGTCATTTCCTGTGCTTCTAATCATGCTCAGTGGCTGCCTTAAGTCTTCTGCAGATTAAAGTGGAATCATGGTGCCCCACTTTGCTGGGATATTCCCTCCGAGGAGCAGAAGATGATGTATCTTAAATGCAGTGTTGTAAGGTCCCTTTCAGCTGTGTCCCTTGGGGATTGCCATGCCTCTGTTTATGTAACCTAGTTTGATGTTTCCCTTTTTGGAAAATAGCATGATATCATGAATGTGCCTTGAGTTTGCAGTCTAGTGGAACTACCAAGCACAAGATAGTCTGCAGAACTGTTTGCTGGTGATTTTTCCTTTGATACTCTTCTCGTGAAGTTGGGGATTTTTTTGTTTGCTTGTTTGTTCTCTCTGCCTTGTTCTTTTGAAGCCTTTTTATCCTCTACGTAACTAGAATTTGTCATTATAGAATTGAATGCTGCTTTATCAGATGATTTTTTCCATTTACCAACATATTTATGATTTTTTTTTCATCCCTTTCTCTAGTATGGTTGTGTTAATTGCACATTTCATGTTTTCCATTAAGGACACTTTTTGCTTTTTGTTCCATCATTCAAGCCATTGCTGAATACATTCAAAAGTACTGGACTCAGGTCAGGTTCCACTACACTGGAATCCCATTTGGATATCTTCCTGCTTTGATAATTACTTTCTGAGTAGTAATCAGTTTTAATTTACCTTTAGATTTTTCAAGGTGAATACTTCTTCCCTTTGAGAGGTACAAGATCATTATGTGGAAATGATAAAACATTTTTTGTTTAACTGCAATCATGCTCTAGTTGAAAATTTAATCTTATTTGTACAACAAAGTGATAAAGGATATTTTCTGCAATAATCTGAAACTTCCTGCAATGTGTTAGACCATCAGAGAAACAACAAGATTATTACTATTTTAAACATGAATTACAAAGTTTTGAATGTTGCTTCTTTTTTTTTGTTTTTCTCTTTATTAGCTGTGAGTGTGGGGCTGGTTGTCCAAGGACACTTTAGGAATGTTATTGTCACATTCTGATGAGAAAAACAAAATGTATTTAAGATGCGGGATTACTTGATTTAATTTATTTCCTCTTATGACAAATATAAAACTGAGGTACTTCTTTTTTTGAGTTTTGGTTTTGATAACTACCATCCATATGATTATTGTTAACTGAATTACATAATAAACCTGCAGATAGAGTACAATGTTCTGGATTATTAAGAGTTCATTCTCAGTATTTTAAGATGCCAGATAAAAATACATTTTGACCTGATCTCTATGGCCATCTGCTTATAGCTGGGTATTTATGTACTGTGATCAGAAAAAATAGGTAAGAGTTAACTTGAACTGTAAAGTGCAGCATGTTAATACTGCATGAAATAACTTCATGCTTCTAGCCTGAAACTAATATTCCTTGCTGTAAAAGGAAATATTTTATGTAGCTTATAAAGAGGGATCATTTTAATTTTATTTGGTGTTCTTTAGCAAGAATGTTATGATGTCAGTGTCTCCATAATACATAAATGTCTATGAAAAACTTCAAGAGCAGCTGCTACACATAAAGAGGATGTGAGAATTACTCAACTGGCAGCTGATTCCAGGGATAAAACATCAAGGGCTCAGGAAAAAAAACTTGAAAGTTAGAAGCTGATTCTTTCCTTCATATAAAAAAATCCAGTAGTAAGCAAAGGTAAACTTTAATGTGTGATGAAATTAAAAAACGCCAACCAAGCTACTTTATATTTACAGAACTGTTAAGTAATTCATTAAGGAAGAAAGAAGAGTAGATGTAGCTGTATCTAAGTTGGGCTGACATAATAGCTTTGTCTTGTCTGTGTTCTTTCACAAGATGACATTGATTAATATGAAGTCCAAGGCTAATGTGAGCTGTACTCATTTTCTTTCCATTCTATTGATTAAAGTTATATTCAGCATCTCTGAACTTTTCAGTGTCTTTAAACTTTTAAAGTTCAAAAATACCTTGAAAGTTATTTTACCTTAGAATAGAATTAAATTGAAATGCTACAATTAATTTCCTTAATGTTTAAATCATTGAATTAAACCTGAATGAATTTGTGAGATGATTCTGGATTATATTGTTAACTGCTGGTTTGCACCTAAACTTGGCAGTTTGACACTGATCTTCAATCCAAAACAATGGAAGTATTTTGCTCATTCCAATATGTAGCTCCCTTGTCAAAAATATGACTGTTCCTATCTAGAAATCACCTTTCTTTTTTCAAGTCAGTGTTTCATAGCCACAAGCTGGTTGAGATCAGGGATATTTCTTTCTCTTGCCTTCATTAAAGATGTTTTGCTTCTCATGCACTCTTCTACTGCAACATTTCTATATAAATGACAGAAAAGATTTTTGTGTAGCACTGATCTTGAAATGGGGTTTATTATGGTGCAAGTGTTTTGCAAGAAGTAAAAAGAGAGGCCATATTAGACTGCCAAACAAATTTGCCCAGCTCTTGCTCATGGTCCGGATGCTTACCCTGTCAGGACATCTTATCCTTTGCCTGGTTCATTTGTTCTCAATTTCCCCGTTCTTATGTAGATAAACATGAATATTTTCAAATTTATTTTAGAATTAATATGTTTATTATGGTGTATTTTCACTTACATACATTGAAGACTCAGTAGTCTTATTTTCTTTCCCTCTAGGTCGTCTTCATTGCTAGGCCTCACCACCTTCAGTCTGTCTTGCTTTTGTCTTAGTTTCAGCTGAGACTTTTTCCCTGTATGGCAGCTCCCTTAGACTGTATTTTTACTCAATCTTTTACTATTTTTCTTCCAAGAACTACATGTAAATTACATCTCAGGTTTTACTTTGTGTTTCAGCTTCTACTATATATGACAGACAGTACAGCTGTCAGCAAGTGCATTTAGTTCAAAAATGTATTTCTTCTCTTACCTTTCATTGTTTCACTAATACTTCTTCAGTGTGAAAAAAGCTTCCCTGTTCATGCAGGCATAGCCTTTGTTTTTATACACTGAGTGAGAAGCAGAGAGCTGGCCGATTTTGTCATTCGCAGATTTTCACAGCTAATGCTATTCTTGTATAAGCAGCAGTTAAAATCTTCCCCTAATAACTCCTAACAAGAATGTAGGTCAGACCAAAGGTCCCCTCAAAAAAAAAAAAAAAAAACCAACAAACCAAAAAACATTTCTATCAGCAGCATTGAAAAACCACACCACAAGTTATCCCGTATTCTTGTGAAATTCTTTGATTGTGTGCATGCATCTGCCTACAGACATGCATATATTAAATCAATTGTGTATGTTTACTTTGACAGATGATGTTTCCATTAGGTGCCCTTTGGCTTGTGATTTTATGTGACTGTTCTTTATATGGTTCTTCTATAACTAACACCTACTGTTTTCTGACACAGTTTTCTCTTTCTGAGAAGTCTTTCTATGAAGTCTTATTTTATATAGACACTTTGATGTCACCTGCACCCTTTCCCAGGAGCTTTTCATACGTCTGTTTGTTCTGCACACTGAACTTGGGAGTAATTTCTTATTGATGTGATCACAGCTCTAGAACTGTTGACTCTCAGTTCCAAACACTCAGAAATGAAATTTCTGACTGTGTGCTTTCACTGCATGAAGTTCCTCTATTCCCACAATATGAAAATGCTTTTCAAAGCACATGCAGCAGTACATGAGTTACTGAAGAAAATAGCACATCTGTACCAGCATACATTGTCGGACATTACAAGCTGCTGGTAGCGTTCAAATCAGGGATCTGAAATTCTTCCTCTATTCTGTGACTAGAATGGAAGGAATTTATCTTCTTAGGCTGTTAAATAAGCAGGATTTTGTTCTTTTGGGTTTTTCCCCTTCTAATCTGATTTGTCATTTATTGGTAAAGCAGGGCAATATCTTGGTCTTTTGCATATTGCTAGTGCATAAGCTAACACTGTGCAAGGGGAAAACCAGCTCCTGTGATTTTTTAAAATTAATTAGCCACTTTATTAAAAATGTTTCAAGTGAAATTCATATGCTTTCTGAATTCCCTTTTTAAATCTGTATTTGTAGGAGCTCATAATATAGCTGTAACATTGCACAGGATGTACTGTTTTCACAGAAATTAAATGTGTTTCAGGCAAAAGCATTCTCTTTTTTTTGCATCTAAAATATTTGGTTTATAAGGTATTGGATAATCTAATTTTATTATTACTAGGAGAGAGTCAAAGAAAACTGCTGTCAAAGGAAAATATAAAACAAATTTTCATTTTGTATGTTAATTATCAAATCTGACCTCTAGTGGTTACAGAATGGAACAAATGGAGTGTTAGCTTCCATTACACTCTTTTTATTTTGAAATATTATTGCAATGTTCCCACTCAGATGTGAATGTTTTCCTTAAAAAAACTACATTCAAAATTATTCGTATTAATTTTCCAGACACATCTCTATGTGTAGTGATTTGAAATCAGTGGTGCTATAATATTAAGGGAGCTTATATAAGGAACAACAGCAGCTATATTTCCTCCTATTTCTCAAGACAAATACCAGATAGCTCTGTTTCATCCATAGTACTTCACATCTACTTGCTGAGTTTGAGAATATTTTAGGAGGGCCATATTCAGCTGCCAGAGGCTCGAAGCAGTATGTTACAGCAGGTCAAGACAATATACTGTACATGAGGACAAAAAAAGGGAACTTGATTTTATGTTCAGGTTCTGTTAACTTCAAAGTTAAGCTTCATAACCACAGCTTAAGAGCTGAAAAGCTAAGTTTGAACTGAATGTGCATTAGGTACTTTAAATCTGGACTTTTTTAATGTGAAAAAGGATTGACTATTTGAACTTAAGAAATAGTAAGATATGAGTTCTGAAAGAGGAAACTTTTTTTTTACTTTTTTTTTTGTTATTACTTTTATTTTAATCTGTGTATTTTTAGGGGCTGGAGGTGTAATTTAAACATTTGAAAACAATGAAACCTGGCATAGCATATGCCACTGCAGCTGTCAAAACCAGCAAGAGGGAGAGATCACCAAAGAGAGGGAGGGATAAAGCTGCCATTGTTACCTTCACAGAACTGGCCTGAGTGCCATACTGCTTCCTAGGGCAGTAGGAAAAGAACACCTTAAGTCTCAGGTGGCAGCAGCTTTCCCTCTAAATAAAAACAGAGCAATCAAGGTTAGCAGTAGCCAACTTTTTAAGAGCAAGCTTCTCTGGATTGTTTTTCATTGTCTGTGCTTTAATATTACAAATTCAATATTTAACTGGGTTGTGAATTTCATTTGATGTTTTTAGCAAATTATATTTCTGGAAAAGAAAATGCATCCTTCCCTGTTTTTTCATTTTGGCCCTTTATTCCATGATGAATTTCATGCACTAAATGGTTTTTAACAAAGTTTGTTGATGGTCCTCCTCTAAGCATTGCAATTACTACAGGTCCAAATCTGTGAGCATATCTTAGAGGAGGAGGTGTGAGGAGTATTACATCCTTGCCTGACTATAAAAGTCTCCACATACTCTCTTACAATTTCTTGTATGTTTTGCGAAGCAGTGGAATCTCTTTACTGTGAGGAGCAGTTGCAAGAGGTGTAAAGAAAGGCAAACTCCCTCACTTGATTTGTAGCCTACTAAAATGGTATCTCTAGACTGCATGGATTACATGTTTAAATTCAAAGGCAGAAATTGCCTCTAAGTAGTCAGAGGACATTTTCAGTTGAGATAACCTTAGAATCAGTAACAGCTTTTACCTTCCATCTTGCTGTTTTGTGGTATATGCTGACATGAAGAGTTTACTTACAGAACTGAAACAGGCTGACATTTTTTACTGTAAACACAGGTTACAGAAATACTTGAATCAAAACAAGGGCGATAAGAAAGGTATCTCCCTGGTTTCAGCTTGTTAATAAACACTGGGGCTATGTCAGAGAGTAATAACTGATATTTGAAAAGAGGGTAACCTATTTAAATGTCTGTTTTAGACCCAAATCAGAAAATGCATGGATATTTGCGAAACCAAATGCAGTACAAGCCATTGGGGTGATGTCATTTGGTAAGTGTTTTTTGCTGTTTGGGTTTATTTTCAAAATTAAGGTCAATTGTAAGAAACTATTTAATGTTTTGAAACTATAATTTTTTTTAATATTCATGTTAAACTGATACTGAAAAAAACTGTTTGAATGTTCCATATCAATGTCATTGTTATTGTGTAAAGCATTAACCTCATCCATTGTCCATTTGGCCCTGAAGGTTTGCCACTGTAGCAGAGACGGTGTGCACATGAGTGCAGCTCACCTGTGCAGGTCATCCTAAAGCCCCTGCATCAGTGGGTTTGTCTAAGTGATAAACTGAGGATTAGCCTGCATTCCCTTGGGTAACCTCTAACAGAAAATCCTCATTCTGAAATCTGTTCCTGCCTGCAGGATCTGGGATACTATTTCTTGTTAGCATTGTGATAATCTGAGGTCTCCCAATGATTGCTGCTGCCTAAAATGGATGCCATATGAAGTCTGAAAGTAGCAAATGGCTCTGTAGATTAAAAAAAACAAAAAAACTTCTCAAATCTGCTGCTGGGTTCTTAAGTAAAAGAAGAGCAGGAGGAGGAAATAGCTGTGGAATGGAGATGTGGAGGGTGGGAAATTGCATAGCATTTAAGGATAATGTAATCAGAATCATCTCAGGATGAATATAAACCTTCATCAAATCAACTAAGCAAGCAAAGGTTCAAGCCATTTATCTTTGCCACTCATTGCAAGATTAATGTTTGTATTTAATAATGAGTGGATTCAAAGTGTGCTGTGTCTTTATGCATTTATGCATGAATTCATACATTTGCTTTAACTGTCATGTGTGTTTCAGCATTCATCTGCCATCATAACAGCTTTTTAATATATGGGTCTCTGGAAGAACCCACATTAAAGAATTGGTCTCAAGTCACACATATGTCTGTGGCCCTTGCTCTTATCATCAGTGTAGTGTTTGCTGCCAGTGGATATATGACTTTTACAGGATACACAGAAGGTAAACTGCTTGATCCCTCAATTTTGATGCTTGCTATAATCCTTACGTTTCTGCCTTCCTGTCTGATTTTTTTTCTGTAAACATCTTGGTGACTGTAAAAATGCAAATATCATAGTATATGTGGGCAGAAAGAGGACATTTGTCATAGTTACCCAACAACCAGAACATGATCCAAAAATGTCAGCTACATGCTAATAGCTGTCAGATTCCTAAGCATAAGCCTTATCAGTGGAAGTCCCATTTGAATACTTCCATCATTAAAACACTTTGAGGACTACACAGCTATGATTTATCCACATGGTCCAGCAGTAGAGAGCAGTTAAGAGCAAAAATTTCCTACAGAGTATCTGGTATATATCTGTGTATATTTTCTTACATTTCTTCTTGTCTGTACTAATACAGCATCCTAGAGTTAGAGATGTTTCCTATCTTTGCAACAGCTGTTCTGGTGTTAATAATCCTACTGTCCTCTCTGTGGGTATATGAATACACATAATTATATATAACCAATGTTGCATCATACTGTTTAACAACATTTTGTTGAAGTGAAAAAGGTATGTTCATAAGAACGAGGTATAAATTGGTTTCAGTGCATTACTTTCTTCAGGGAAAATACACATTTCATAAGCAAGCATATTTTCTGTTACTTAGTAGCGACATTCCAGATTGTAGGAGGAGGCTTCCAAGCTTTTTCCTTTTCTGATGAGCAGCAGCATTTAGTTGAGAACAGAGAAATTGTAGGATGGGGACTCCTGGTTTGTCTGTCCTTTTTTTTCCTGCCTCCATTGCTTACTCCTGCAGAGTAAGTCACTGTCCTAGATGTACTGTAGGTAGACCGAATGCAGGCTGGCTGAGAACTTTCAGGTACAGAAAGCTCTGCCTGCAGCTCCTCCTCAGCTTATGACTCTTTGTGTTAGCAGGTTCCATCTCACTTTGTGTGTCCCCTGCCAAAATCTTTTGGCTGTTTAAAGTACACTTTATTGCTTCTTCAGTGCCATTGTGTTTCCTAAAGTAGTAAATCATGAGACAGTATGGTAACCACATAAAAGAGAACTGATAGATCATCTGGTCACTGTCTTGCACTGTCTCTTGTGCTTCAGAGATGATTACTAGAGATTCTTTGTGGTACACACAAGATGATTTGAATTTTATAGTGATGCTTTTGGTTTTAGATAGAAGATGATTTGCTAGGTAATAATCCATATGTTTATAATAGGCTTTTGAGGTCAGAATACTTGAAATTATTAGCTGTGAGTATATACTGTCAGGGAAATGCGGTTCTCCACAGGTAACTCTCACCTCTTTTTTAATGTAATTGTTGTTCCAGGAGTTTTTAGGGAAAATTTATCTTCTACACATAAGCTTTCTTTCTGAATCTGTCACATATTTATTTAATCAAACACCGGCATCTCATACAAAATCTATGTTATGGAGAAGATAACAGATGACAAACTCTGATATGTATATTTTAAAATATTTTTTGAAGATAAATGTCACTTGAGGTAAAATACGCAGCTTAACCAGCAGGATAAGCTGAAAGTTATTCCTGGACATAACTTGTGACTGTAACTAGTTCCTAGTTACATGTCAGAAGAGGGGATCAGAAAACATCAATTACTCCAGTAATCTGCACTTCAAGTTGCAAATATAGGCAAATGATGTGAAGTTCAAGCTAATTGGTGTTTTGCTATGCCTCAGGAGATATATTTGAAAACTACTGTAGAGATGACAACCTTGCTACATTTGGAAGGTTTTGTTATGGAGTTACTGTAATTCTGACCTTCCCCCTTGAATGTTTTGTGACCAGAGAGGTAAGAATTTATTACATTTTCCCTTTAACACTGTTGTTATATATTAATAGTATTGTCATATATTGTAGCTGAAGTCTGTGGTTGATCTGTGATAAATAGCAGCATATTTTATCTTGCTACATGCAATGAGTAGGGGGGACTAGTTGTACTGTTTAGACACTGACCATATAATGTGGTTTCACGTTTATTAATATATTAATAATTACTTAATAATATCAGGACTGCTTGAAATTTCAAGCTTGGCATAAATGACACTGTTGTTACTGTGCAGAGAATAGCAAAAAATACATACTTTTCTATCTTAATAGTTTTTCTTTTTAGAAGTATCTCCATCCAGGAAATTCATCAATTCAATGAATAATTGTAAGTGGATTTATTCTGTGATGGGCAAATGGGAAAAGAGTACATTCTGAAATCCTACAGGTATAGCTAAGTCAATTTGGCAAGTGTTCTGCAATTTTAGTAATGATTGTTATGGGTAATTTTTGGAAGCAGATGAAGATGTTTTCTTGAAGCAAGGTAAGTAAAATTGAGCCAGTGTATTCTCACCCATTCCTTTAGTTTCCTAAGGTTAGAAGGTTTGGAGTAAGTTGTTTGATAACATAAGGAGAAAAATCAAGGTTTAAAATTGTGATTCTGTTTCAGGTAATTGCCAATGTGTTTTTCCATGGGAACCTCTCAACAGTTTTCCATGTTGTTGTGACAGTAGTTATCATTGCTGTGGCGACTGGTGTATCATTAGTGTATGATTGCCTTGGAATAGTTTTAGAGCTGAATGTAAGTGAACCTGTTTACTCTTTTATTTAATAAATCACTTATTAATAAATAAGAAATTTTTAAAATCCACAGCTCTACTGAAAATCTTAGGAAATTTAACAGTCAGTAGTAGTGTTAGAAGAAGGAATTACTGCTTCAAAAACAGATAACTAAAGGTGAAAGGAAGTTCAAGAAGTAAAATTCATATGGTTGGGGAGGATTTTAGAATAGTTTTTTAGATAAGGCAAGTGGCTATGACCTACCAAATGTGTTAAGCCACAGCAGAAATCACTGAAATACTCTTTCAAACTGTATAGTGGTATTGCATTTAGCATTTCTTTCTGATTAAGTTGGCAAATTACTTAACACTGGGGGTAGATTCTAGTGACTGCCTTGTGCCACAGGGGCAAAAAACAGAGGGAGGTAGAAAGAAAGAGCCAGTACTAGCTAGACCACAGAGATGATCACTGGAAATATACAATCAAAAGCAAGCAAAAAAAGCAAGCATTCCATCAGTGCAGTGGTCTATTTCCTAAGCAGTTAGTCAGTAGTCAAACTGATAGCTTTATTCAGTTACAAATAGAAGTTGATAGCCAGGCATTTGCGTGGGTAGCTCCTATCTTGTAGGGTTTTTTTGCTTTTCCTTTTTAAGAGAGAATTTGATGATACAGTTGTAGGTATTTATTGGATGTCATAATTGTTCTCAGAAAGGTTGTTCAGTCCTGATATCTAGCAGTAGGGAAAAATGAATAGACAGAGTATTTACCTGTGAAAGAAAAGTGATCTGTCTTTGAGCTGGCTTTCTGTCCAGCAGAAGAGCTGTCTTTTGGCTCTTCATCACGGATAGCATTTGATACTATTTCTCTGAGCCTGCTTTTACTTTCCTGCTTTAGAACAAAACACAAGCCATTGTGTTTGCCGGGTGGTAATTCCCCAGGGAAACTATTGAGTCATATGGGAGTCAAAGGGTCACAGAGTTTGCTTTGTTATTCTTTTACTGGGATGCTGGTTTGTGTTACTTCACAGACCTAAAGCTTAATTTTCGTGGAGGAGATACTTTGTGCTTGTACGTATTTCTGATGTCCATACTGATCACTGTTAACAGGTTCTACCATACCAATATTGGAAGTTTTGTACAATTAATGATGTAAAGTTATTACTTAGGCTGGATTACTATCTGGCCATAATTAAATTGAAACACAGAGTTTGTTAACTATGTAACTAAATAAACATTCAAAATTTCTACATAAAATTGCTTCCTTTTGCATGTAACTCATATGCTAATCTGCAGTGGCTTTACTATAAAAAGAATTTTTGAAAGTGCTTTTTGTTTGTCCCTTTCTAAGACAGCATTCAAAGAGGAGCTGAATTTTTAGTGAGAGGAAAGGTTCTACTCTGTGAAAAGGAGCTTTGCTTTCATAGGGAAGTCAACCTAAATCAGGTTATAAATGTCAAAACTGATGAAAATTCTTTGAACTGCTACATGATGGTACATGAATTTTTTTTCAAAAAAATTTATTCCTTTTAAAGGCAGTGTTATATCTAAACTCCTCCATGGAATTATCTTAAATATTTTAATTCAGTTCAAGTATTGAAGAACTATGTTTGGACTTTTACTCTATCTCTTAAGCTGAGAAACTTTGGGTAATAAGATTAAATGCTTCTTCAAATATTAAAATATTATTCTGTATCAGCAAAGCAAAAGCATTTAAATAAATCTTAATTATTGGAAATAGTTTAACAGATATTTTTGCATATTTTGGGGCCTTTTGTTTGGAAAAAAAGGTTTTCCATATAGCAACACAGGCAAAGGCCTTTATCCTCTGTTTTTACTGTTATATCAATCTAATCACAACTGTTAAAAAATTTAGGTTTTTGTTCTTCACATCTAAATAAACATGCTGATGAGGTTTTTTTCTATTGCTCTTTCCCACACACAGGGAGTTTTGAGTGCTACCCCACTTGTTTTTATCATCCCATCAGCGTGTTATCTAAGGCTGTCCAAGGAGCGGTGGAACCATTCAGATAACCTCATATCCTGCCTGATTCTTGTTCTTGGTGTGCTAGTGATGGCAGTTGGGTTTGTCATGACTGTCTTGCATCCCCAGGAATGTAGCCATGGAAAAGAAATGTTCTACTGCTCCCCTAGTAATGTTTCTTTACACAACAGCACACTTCCACCATAGGTAGCACACCAACCTCCAGACTAGACTGGGCACATCTCACTGTGAGCCATACATGCCAGTTTAAAGGAGAGTGGAACAAAGTTTTCTCATGTTTTGAGATGCACTAAGAATTTAAAACTGTATCACTGTATTTACATACTTGATTTTATGCTGCCATCCTTTTTCAGGTAAGACTTCAGTTTTAACTGTTGAAGCACAAAATCTCAGAGGTGCCTTTCAGTAGACATTACTTGAATAACTTGCAAGCCTACCAAAAAGGTTGCATTTTTTAACCTTAGTCTGCAATACTGCTTAAAAGTGATAAATTAAATGTTTTGGAATATAAACCTTTCCATGTTTCATTGATTTAACTTAGTTTTTATTAATTTTATAATCTTTCATGTGTATTTATTAGCATACTATAGTATGGGGGCTTTTTGAAGCCCTGAAAAAGTGTATTTCTGGATTTCTGTGTACTACAACTCTGCTATTAAATCAAAAGACCCTTATTAATTCTGTCTTTGATTTTGCAGTAACTGTCCTTTAGAGCTGAAAGCTTCCCTTTTACTGGATCTTGAGTCAAAGGAAATTTTGTATTCTGACTGAACTGTAACCGATACAATTTAATTGTAACTGTTACAATATGTGGTCTTGTAATTGAAAGTTGTTGCACAAAAAAAAAATCCACAAGAGTGGAATTTAAAAAGATTGAACTAGGTAGTCTTTGTAAAAATTTCAAGATTGACGAAGAAGGAAATTACATGGCAGCTCAATTCTTACATTTATAATATTATTCATTATTTCTGAAACTGAATTTAAATTAACGTTCTAAACCTGATTATCATTTGAGTCCTCTGTTTCTTTTTAGTATATGACTAATGATTTTGTCACGGTTTGTCAAATTTTGGTGATTTATGTTTTCCAAAATTCATCTAACATCAAGGATTTACATATATATATGTATGTGTATAAATATACATATATACATAAGTATATAAAAAATTGACTCACATGCCTATGGAATAGGACTAATTTGAGGCTGAGTAATATGAGTATCCTCAGTCATATCGATGCTGTCATTTTGAAAATGTTTTGTAACCAAATCAAAATGTGTATTTGAGTTAATTTCTGCATTATTGTCATCCTTGTGGTTCCTCATGCCAGCTAGATGTGTAATGCTACTTCATTTTTATGCTGCTTAATGGGGAGGGGTTTTGTCTTCATCTTGCATGACAAAGCTAGGCCATTCAAGACTTCCCGCTAAACAAATGCATAAGCAAGGGTGGTAGCTAAATGATGATAATACTTGTAAGAATAACACACTTTTTGAAAGTAGTGCTTCCAAAATAAATGCTTTAAATATACTGGGAATTTTTGTTGTTTCTTTGGTGTTTTTTTTTTTAAGTTGCAAAGCAATTAGAGAGAAGCGTGAGTATTACTCTGCTTTCATTTCTCTACAAAGTGCCAGCTTTGAGGGTGATAATTTATTTGTTCTCCAGGCACCTGATACTGTTCACAAAGAATATTTCTCACCAGTTTAGATGCAGTAATAGCTGATTTTGTCTTAGCTGTGGGTGAATTGTTACTGAATAAATCACTTTCTTCTATGCCAAATGGAGTCAAACCCAAATAATATTTCCTTGTGACAGCTAAGATCTTTTTGGTCAATCACAATTCTTTCATAAGCTTTGTTGTTCTTTTTGTTTTTCTGATTTTTTTTTTTTTTTTACTTTTAAAGTAGATTACTTTGTTTCAGGTATTAATTATAAACTATCTTTGCTAGTTTCATTTGTGAATTTCCCAGGTGATGATGGGGTTCTCCCAGCCGTAAGTATATTGAAAGTGGAAGATTGGGTGTCACAGATGCCAGAACTTAAAGTTAACTGCTATTTGCCTAAAGGCTTTATAAAACCCATGATCCCTTTCTTCCCAATATTACGTAGTGAAACTTACCTTTATTGAAATGAAAAATAGTAGCAATCTGGTAAATCCTGTCTTAGAACCTAGGAGGTCCAAATACAGAAAGATAATACATCATAACAAAAATTGTGATAACCATTGTTTTTTGCAAACACTTAAGACTCCCCAAAGTAAAATCGTAAAATCTATTGGGAACCTCTCACTGGCCTCAGCATGTGCAGGATCTCACCACAATCTTAGTACTTCAAGCAGAGGTTTGCTGGGAGTAGCAATATCCCCAACTCCAAATGCTCCGTGGTGACAGAACTTCATGGAGTGCCTGGAGGGAGAAGAATGTTCCCCAGGCATTTGCTGGCAGGATTTTCACATCAAAAGCTGGTAGCATGACTCACTATTTCTCCAAGTTCCTCTCTCCAGCTAAGAAGGCATTTCAGGACACCAGATGTACAATTACCATTCTCACAGGAGCTAAGCAGACAGTTTATGACTTTCTAGAGTAAAGTGCTTCTTACCAATTGCAGAATTCTGAGCATTCACAAAATACTTTCTCCTAAAAGTTGGTCAGATGACCAAACCCAATGTACTACTTGAGACTTCCTAGAGAATTTTCCTTCCTCCTCAAGTTTCTCTCTGGAGAGGGAAGCAAAATGGCTCAGGTTTGCTGAATGGACATATTTCTGTATATTTTTCACACACAAAATCTTTATATCTCATATAACATACATACATTACATATATTTTCTGCATCCAATAGGGGAAGGATATTTATTTACTATATACACTGTGTATTTGTGACTCACTGGAGAACAAAACTTAAAAAGTAGTGTGAGAATTTATTTGGAGTCGGGTGGGAACATGGGGTAAAAGGGAGAAAGTAATAAAAGCTGCAGAGTAAACAAATGTATTGGGAGTGCAAAATATGAGATTCAACAATTCAAACATAATTCACAGAAGAGTTCTACTTTTAATAATTCTGTTACATGAAGATCTAATTTTAAAAGCAATTTTTGAGTTTTGGAATTTTAAAAATTTTTTTTTAAGAATTGATGTCAATTCTAAAACATTCAAGATTTGAATTCAGGCCAGTGAAGGAAATAAGTACCTGCTTTCCAGTTTCTGTCATTCACTGCTGTTGGAGAAGTTGAAATTCAGGTACATGCTTAATACATGGCTCAAAACTCTTCATGGAGAGAAAGTAAACTATATCCTTATTCCTCTTTATGCTTATCTTTCTGTTCTCTCCTAACTAAATGTTGATTCTAGGTGCTTCATAAGGCAATACCATATAGAAGAGCTATAGCTGACACACGGAATTCCAAAATGGCATTCAAGAAAAGTTCAGGCAGGTCTGAATTTTCACATGTGATCTCCTAAAAGAGGCAGTATCCACTGAACACTGGAAATTCCCAGCAAGATTCATGGACTTACTGTATTAATACAAATACAGAAGTAATGAACCAAAGACAAAGTTAGAAACAAGTGAAAATTACTATAAGACACTGTAGGAATAAATGTCATAGATGTCATTCTATAAAACCTGCATTGAGATGGGGTCATGTAAATTATCTTTCAGAGCAGCTTATGTCTGCCACAAGCAACACACTTGGCAGACTCTTCAGCAGTGTCCTTTGTCTTGATGAAGGCAGGACAGCTGACAGTGGTGCTTTGCTGTCTCGCCAAGAGTGCCTGCCTGAGATTGTATGGTGGGATGTTGTAACCACCTCTTGGGACTTCTGTTTCTAGAGGCAGGGGCTGGGTCATATTTTTCTTAGTGTTCATACACACTGCTTAGCACAGTGGCTCCTGATTGATGACAGGGCCTCCTAGGTGCCAGTTACACAAGCAGTAGTTATTATACTATGGCCATATTTTGCGGTTTCTCTATCATTATATCCTGTTGCAGTCTCAGTGGATAACATAAATATGTTACTGGATGACAGGTGGTCCCTTTGCTTCTATTTTTGCTTCCATGTTTGGGGTAAAAAAGGTTTAGAAGATGCCTTCTTGCTGTTTGGTTCATTGCATTTTGTGGCTTTTCAGACAAGGACATGGGTGTCACATGCTTATTAGTAGTCAAAGTAGTTAGTAGTTATTCTAGTTTTTGCAGTGCTGCATGAAAACTCTTGTGAAAAAGCAGTACCTTGTCTGTTATACAGAATATGTTCAAACACAGGGCAGTTCTGGCCTTTGTGAAACGATTAGCTCATCAAAGGAGGCATAGCTGGGGTTGTGTGACGTTTGCTGGAGTGAAAGCTGCATAATTTTAGCCATCTTTCGTACCAGCCCATTAGGAAAGATAACTTTGAGGTCAAAGGACAAATATTTTAAAGCTTGAACTGACTACTTGGAAAAAAAATGAACATGCCCTACAGAGCAACAAAATCACATGATTAGAGGGACATCTGTTTAAAACTCCCTTATACTGACCAATAACTTTTTCCTTTCACCATGCCTTTTTCTGTCACAAAGGAATATTTCTAATGAACTACAGCACTAAGTTTCAGGCTCTTTTTTGTCATATTGCAAGAGATACGTTACTGAGTGACTATTTGCTCCTTTTCTTTCTAGTTTTTCTTTGGTTTATTTTTTTCCCAGAAAAGATTGTCTTTTGAATCAGGTCCTTTTATATCACAGCTCTGTGTTCTGATGTGTGAAGTGCAAAGTATTTTCTATTTTTTTACATAAATGTTTATTGGCCTACTGTAGAATAACAGACATCTTAAAATAACAGGAGTTTTCACAAAAGGGGTATTACCTTTCCTGAACTATATAGTTAGATGTCTTCCAGAGGAGAGAGAAATCCCTAAAGAGATAGATCCCTAAAATTAAATTCTGAAGGAGGTAGCATATAAGACAATACCATAACACAGTGTTTTGCAGCATTTTAAATTAGTGGAGTGCCTTGTGTTGGCACCAAACTTTTGTAACAGTGCTAGTCGGCCTGCAGTGTGAGACAAATGGTGTTCTTAGACTCCTCTTCATTTATTTAACAGTATGTATTAAATCTCTTCCCATTTACTGATTGGGCAATGGAATGGAATGTTACCCTGTCTCAGAGGACAGTAATTCTTAAACTATGCAAAAATATAATTATATAGCAT